TTTTGAGTCCTTTTGGTTCTAGTGCGTTTTTGATGTGTTTTACCGCAGTCCTGTACAGTTCTGTGCAGGAAAAATGCAGCCTGTTCTACTTTTTTTTTTTTTCTGCAACCGAAATGCACTGGAATTGCAGGCACTGATGTGAACGATTCCGTTAACAACCATGCAACCTACTTTCTGTGAGTTTTAGATGCAGAAAGAAAATACACTGGAACACTTGTACTGTGAACTAACCCTTATAATTTAGTAATACTTTAACTGTGCATTATGGTCCCAGAATTATTGCTGTCACTCCAGCGTTTATGGTGATATATAGCAAATCTAGCACAATCAACAATTTTTGTACATTGGCAACCCCCATTTGTGCATTTTTATATATATCTTTGGGGGGGGGGGGCACATTTTTTGGGGGGGATGCTTGGGTGTACCTTTAACTTTTTTTTTTAAACACTTTTCACTCAACTTTATTGCTATTACATAGGGGACAAAAAGCCCCTCATGTAGTAGGCTGTTTATACTGACAGGTTCCCTTTATTGAAACAACAGGGATCTATTAGACCCATGATGTCTCCCATATGTAAGATATCTAGCACAATCAACATTTAGTACATTGACACCCCCCATTTGTGCATTTGTGTGTGTGTGTGTGTGTGTGTGTGTGTGTATATACAGTTGTTTTCAAAATAATAGTGTGTTGAGCTCAAAAGCTCAAAATCCTTCTAATAGCTTTTATTTCCATACACACAAATGTATTGGGAACACTACACATTCTATTCCAAATCAAAACATGAAGAAAAATAGATCAAATTTGTGTTGTTCCTCTAAAAAAAATTGAAGAAAAGTGAATGTTAGACTGTTCAAAAAAATAGCAGTGTTTGTATTCTTCTTTACAAACCTCAAAAACATTCACTATATAAACTGAAAAATGTTTGAAGATTTTGCTTTCCTTTGAATCACTTAATGAATATTTAGTTGTATAAGCACTGTTTCTGAGAACTGCTGTACATCTGTGTTGCATGGAGTCACCCAACTTCTGGCACCTGTGAACAGGTATTCCAGCCCAGGATGATTGGACTACATTCCACAGTTCTTCTCTATTTCTTGGTTTTGCCTCAGAAACTGCATTTTGATGTCACCCCACAAGTTTTCTATTGGATTAAGATCCGGGGATTGGGCTGGCCACTGCATGTTGTCTTGTTGGAACACCCATTTCAAGGGCATTTCCTCTTCAGCATAAGGCAGCATGACCTCTTCAAGTATTCTGATGTATTCAAACTGATCCATGATCCCTGGTATGTGATAAATAGGCCCAACACCGTAGTATGAGAAACATCCCCATATCATGATGCTTGAACCACCATGCTTCACAGTGTACTTTGTCTTGAATTCAGTGTTTGGGGGTCGTCTGACAAACTGTCTCCGGCCACTAGACCCAAAAAGAACAATCTTACTTTCATCGATCCACAAAATGTTGCGCCATTTCTCTTTAGGCCAATCAATGTGCTCTTTGGCAAATTGTAACCTCTTCAGAACATGTCATTTTTTCAACAGTGGGACTTTGCGGGGGCTTCTTGCAGATAGCTTGGCTTCACATAGGCGTCTTCTAATTGTAACAGTACTCACAGGTAACTTTAGTCCTCCTTTGATCTTCCTGGAGCTGATTGTTGGCTGAGTCCTTGCCATTTTGGCTATTCTTCTATCCATTCGAATGGTAGTTTTTCTCTTTCTTCCACGTCTTTCAGGTTTTGGTTGCCATTTTAAAGCATTTGCGATCATTTTAGCTGAGCAGCCTATCATTTTCTGCACTTCTTTATCAACTTTTTAATCAAGGTACGCCGTTCTTCTGAACAATGTCTGGAACGACCCATTTTCCTCAGAATTTCAGAGAGAAATGCACTGTAACCAGCATGTACAACATTTGCTGCCTTCCTTCCTTAAATAAGGGCAATAATTGCCACCTGTTTTTCAAAGAATGAATGACCTCACCAATAGAACTCCACACTGCTATTATTTTGAACATGCCCCTTTCAATGAGTGATTTAATTACACAGAATCAGCAGCATGCATGTCATGACTGTTGGGTCTGTTGGATTTCTATTACTCTACTACACCTGCTAGTAAATTATTTGCCATGTAGAAATATCATTTCTACCAAAAACAGTGATTGATCAGGTTAGTGATGTCTGACTGCTATTATTTTGAACACAACTGTATATATGTGTGTGTGTGTGTGTGTGTGTGTGTGTGTGTATGTATATATATATATATATATATATATATATATATATATGTGGGATGGGGAATCACATTTTTTCTGGGGGGTGTTTTGGGTATGCCTTTTTTACTTTTTGACACTTTTTTTTTTTTTCCCACTCAACTTTGTTGCTAATAGCCCTCCATGTGATTGGGCTATTGATAGTGACAGGTTCTCTTTATTGAGACTTCTGGAATCCATTAGAATCCTGATGTCGCCCGTACACTCCACTGAAGCTACTTTTTTACACTTTTCTTTCACTTTATTGCTATCACATAGGTGACCAATAGTCCCCCCCCACCCCCCCCCCCCCCCCCCCATGTTATAGGCTATTTATAGTGACATGTTTTCTTTATTGAGTCATTGGGGATCTGTTAGACTCCTGATGTCTCCCATACACTCCACTGAAGCCAACAGAGCATAGATAATGCTTAATTAGTGGCCAGGGGAAGTGACCACCACAACCAAAAGTGATAGTTTACAACTCACTTTGGGGTTCTTACTAGCTAGGGAAGCGACCAGTGACACGTGGATGCAGATGTACGGTTGCCAGGTCACTTCCATCTGAAAGCCGACAGTCAGTTTGATGTGTCTGCTCACAACCCTCTGCTGCTGCTGCCAATATCTGAAATACATTGTGGCACTAAAAGGGCTAACTGGACTGAGGTGAGAGGTCCTTGTTCCAGCACTGCTGTGTCAGTGGCCATTCATTTAAATAGGCTTGCTGATGCACTGAAACACATACAGTTGCAAGAAAAAGTATGTGAACCCCTTGGGATTACGTGGAGTTTTGCATGAATTGGGCATAAAATGTGCTCTGAACGTCATCTAAGTCACAACAATAAAAGAACACAGTCTGCTGAACATAATACTACACAAACATTAGATGTTGCCATGGTTTAATTGCACATAACATGTAAACATTCACAGTGCAGGGAAGAAAAAGTATGTGAACCTTTGGACTTAATAACTGGTTGACCCTCCTTTGGCAGCAATAACCTCAACCAAACGTTTCCTGTAGTTGCAGATCAGACCTGCACAACAATCTGGAGTCATTTTGGACCGCTCCTCTTCACAAAACTGTTTCAGTGTAGCAATATTCTTGGGATGTCTGGTGTGAATCGCTCTCTTAAGGTCATGCCACAGCATTTCAATCGGGTTGAGGTCAGGACTCTGACTGGGCCACTCCAGAAGGCGTATTCTGTGCTGTTGCAGCCATTGTTTTGTTGAATTACTTGTATGCTTTGGGTCATTGTCCTGTTGCATCACCCATCCTCTGCGGAGCTTCAGTTGGCGGACAGATGGTCGTACGTTTTCCTGCAAAATGTCTTGATAAACTCTGGAATTCATTTTCCCATCAATGACAACAATCCGTCCAGGCCCTGAGGCAGCAAAGCAGCCCCAAACCATGATGCTCCCTCCGCCATGTTTTACAGTAGGGATGAGGTTTTGATGTTGGTGTGCTGTGCCTTTTTTTCTCCACACATATTGTTGTGTGTTCTTCCCAAACAACTCAATCTTGGTTTCATCTGTCCACAGTATATTTTGCCAGTAGTGCTGTGGAACATCCAGGTGCTCTTTTGCAAACTTCAAATGTGCTGCAATATTCTTTTTGGACAGCAATGGCTTCCTCCGTGGTGTCCTCCCATGTACTCCATTCTTGTTTAATGTTTTCCTTATTGTAGATGTGTCAACAAAAATGTTAGCACGTGCCAGAGATTTCTGTAGGTCTTTAGCTGACACTCTGGGATTCTTCTTTACCTCATGCAGCATTCTGCGCTGTGCTCTTGCAGTCATTTTTGCAGGACGACCACGCCTAGGAAGAGTAGCTACAGTGCTAAACTTTCTCCATTTGTAGGCAGTCTGTCTTACTGTGGACACATGAACATCAAGGCTTTTGGAGATACTTTTGTAACCCTTTCCAGCTTCATGCAAGTCAACAATTCTTGATCGTAGGTCTTCTGAGAGCTCTTTTCTGCGAGGCATGGTTCACATCAGACAGTGCTTCTTGAAACCAGTAAAACCCAAAACAGGTGTGTGTTTTTTAAGGGCAGGACAGCTGTCAGCAACACATCCAATATCATCACACTGATTGGAGTCAAGGTTGGCTCACTCCTGGCTCCAATTAGCTCTGGGAGAAGTCATTAAGCTAGGGCCTCACATACTTTTTCCTCCCTGCACTGTGAATGTTTACATGTTATGTACAATTAAACCATGGTAACATCTAATGTTTGTGTAGTATTATGTTCAGCAGACTGTGTTCTTCTATTGTTGTGACTTAGATGACGTTCAGGGCACATTTTATGCCCAATTCATGCAAAACTCCACGTAATCCCAAGGGGTTCACATACTTTTTCTTGCAACTGTAGTTAAGAGATGCATGGGCCATTTTTACCAATACAGTGCGCCAGTGCTGTGTGTTGCAATGCAGGTGCATTGGGGTGGCGTTCAGAATGAGTTGCACCACAGCACACCAATGGACGGAATGTTCCTAGTTGCCCATAACATTCTCAGAATTCTTTTGCCAACATCCATACTTTTCCTATCTTGCCTCTCTATTGTCCAGCTGTCACATGCTATGATGTACTGTGCTCTGCCCACGCGTTTTGTTTTTGTGTGATTACATATGACAGCTGTACTCCCCACTATAACTTATGTGCTGATAAAATGTTGCCGTACAATGGACGCTCACGGAACCTTTTTTTTTTTTTATTATTATTATTTTATTTCTCTTTCTCCATTCTTCCAGGTGACTGTGACAATATCAGTAAAGTGCGTTCACCAGGAGAGAGGCCAGTGATCTCCCGCCCACCAGTAAGACCACCGGACCCTCCCAGCAGAGCAGCCTTAAACCCCAAAGCGGACGCCAGCTTGGGTGGAAAGGAAGACAACGCTGAGTCAGTGTAAGGAAAGACCAGCGACAGCTGACTGTTTAAGGGTGTCAGTCAAATGTTTATTTTAACAACGCTGCCACCATCTACCAACAAAAAAAGCAGTTCTTAAATTAGATATAAACACAACTAGATGATATTTAGTTTGCTAAATAAACAATCACTATATTTATGAAAATACTATGTTTACACTGGTACCGCTGATCTCCTGCAGCCTCTTTGCAGCAACTTCGTGCCTACATGCACAATAGTGATCCCTGTGTGGCATTTCTCAGGTTGGGTTTCCTGATGGTGACAAAAGTGGACCATGGTTGTGTGACCACTTGCCGACTAATCTCATACCTGGTACGTCACTGGACTTCAAGTGGTTGTGCCGGGATGATGGTTGGATTTCTTGTAGTAGCAAACAAAGTGGCTTACTAGCTGATTGATTGCTATTACAAGCAGCCAGAGGAGATGTTCAACCCTCCCTCTGCCTTCCGCAACTTTAACAGGATCCCCTGATCGACCAGCTGGTGCTACCGCCAGTCACGGAGCAGAACAAAGACCAGATCGGCTTTGTTTGGCTGTGTTAAATAGTAACCTGGAAGCGATGAGCTGACATCACTTTACTCAGAAATGCACTTCGCCATTTATAAAAAAATAAAAGCATTCAATAACTCTGATCTTGGTGTGATTTAATGCTTTTAAGGGCAAAGGAGGGATTTGGATACTTACTTACCCCAGATCCCTCCATAAAGAGTACCTGTCACTGCCTATTGCTGTCACAAGGGATGATTATTTTCTTTGTGACAGCAAAAAAAGTGATACATTTTTTTTAAAGTGACAGTGTAAAAAAAAAATAAAAATTAAAGTCTCCCCCGCCACATTGCATTTTAAAAACCGCTGCGCAAATACCATGTGGCATTAAAAATAGCAAAACCCACCATTTTATTCTCTAGGGCTTGTGCTTTAAAATTTTATAGCAAAGAATGCTGATTGTAAGCAAAAAGTGTCAGAAAAGGTCTGGTCTTTAAGTGGTTAACATGTATTGAAACAGCCGCTTGGGAGGCAGACAGGGAGTGCTGTCACACCATTACAGGAAGTGCCTGAATAAGGACTTTCATGGCCGAATCACCAGGAATTGCTTTAGAAAGAGCTGCAGATTAAAAAAAAATAGTAATTATTATTTTTGAGATTACTTTAACCACTTGCCTACCAGGCACTTATACCCCCTTATTTACCAGGCCAATTTTCAGCTTTCAGCGCTGCCGCACTTTGATTGACAATTGGTCATGCAATATTGTACCCATATGAAATTTTGATCATTTTTTTCTCACAAATAGAGCTTTCTTTTGGTGGTATTTAATCGCCACTGGGCGCTTTACTTTTTGCGCTATAAATAAAAATTGCAAAAAATGTGAAAAAAAAAAAAGTTTTTTTGTTTCTTTTATAAAATTTTTCAAACAGGTATTTTTTCTCCTTCACTGATGTGCGTTGATGAGGCAGCACTGATGTGCGTTGATGAGGCGGCACTGATGGGCACTGATAGGCGGCACTGATGGGCACTGATAGGCGGCACTGATGGGCACTGATAGGCAGCACTAAAGGGCACTGATAGGCAGTACTAATGAGGTGGCACGGATAGGCGGCACTGATAGACAGCACTAATTAGGGGTCACGGATAGGCGGCACTAATATGCAGCACTGATAGGCGGCACTGATAGGTGACACTGATTATGGGCACTGACTGGCGGCACTGACTGGCACAACCCCTGGGCACTGACTGGCGGCACTGACTGGCACAACCCCTGGGCACTGACTGGCAGCACTGCTGGGCTGCACTGGTGGGTGGCACTGGTGGGCAGCACTGGTGGGTGGGCACAGGTGGGTGGCACTGGTGGGCACAGGTGGGTGGGCACAGGTGGGTAGCACTGCTGGGCACAGGTAGGTGGCACTGCAGAGTGGCACAGGTGGGTGCACTGCTGGGCACTGGTGGGCGGAGCTAGTGGGCGCACTGCTGGGTGGAACTTGCGGGTGGCACTGCTGGGCACCGATCATCAGGGCACTGATCATCAGTGCCCTGATGATCGGTGCCGATCCCTGCTCTGACAACTGCCGGTTCTCGTCAGTACTTTCCTCACGATCTGACAGCGTGAGGAAAGTGCAGCCAAGAACCGGCACTTGCATTTCCCTCTGATCAGCGTGTCATTGGACACCGCTGATCACGTGGTAAAAAGGACGCTGTGATTGGCCTTTTACCACATCACGTGATCAGCTGTGTCCGTAGGACACGGCGATCACGGAGATCGCCGGGTGTGCGCCCCCTGGGGCGCGCAGGAGGATATGACGTCCACCCAGAACTGGCCGGCCGCAGTGCAGCCGTCATTCGGCTATCTGCGGTCGGCAGCTAGTTAACATGTTACAGCTTCTGTGAAGTTTTATGATTGCGTGTACTTTAATACTTGTGCTTACTAAATTATTTCAGAGTTTGATTCTATTTAGTTCTGTGCAGTAATTATGAGACTTTTCCTTCCTGTAATAACCTCTTGCCCTCCATAAAATTTTACCTAATTCATTACCAGTCCATTTTTTTTGCTATTCAGCACTTCTCTACTTTAACTGGTAATTGTGCGGTCGTACAACGCTGTACCCAAATTAAATTTGTATAATTTTTTCACACAAATAGAGATTTCTTTTGGTGGTATTTGATCACTACTGGGTTTTTAATTGTTTTTATTATATAAACAAAAAAAGACCAAAAATTTTGAAAAAAAAAAATATTTTTTACTTTCTGCTACATAAAACATATCCAATAAAGAAAAATCTAATTTATTCATAAATATAGGCCAAACTGTAGTCTGCTATACAGTGAAGGAAATAAGTATTTGATCCCCAGCTGATTTTGAATGTTTGCCCACTCACAAAGAAATGATCAGTCTGAAAATCGCATGGTAGGTGTATTGTAACACTGAGAGACAGAATAGCAACAAAAAATTGAAAGCAATGCATGTCTAACAAATGATGCACTGATTTGCATGTTCATGAGGGAAATAAGTATTTGATCCCATTCACAAAACACCACTTAGTACTTGGTGGCAAATCCCTTGTTGGCAATCACAGAGGTCAGACGTTTCCTGTAGTTGGCCACCAAGTTTGCACACATCTCAGAAGGGATTTTGGCCCACTCCTCTTGGCAGATCCTCTCCAAGTCATTAAGGTTTGGTGGCTGACGTTTGGCAACTCGAACTTTCAGTGCCCTCCACAGATTTTCAATCGGATTAAGGTCTGGAGACTGGCAAAGGCCACTCTAGGACCCTAATGTGCTTCTTCTTGAGCCACTCCTTTGTTGCCTTGGCTGTGTGTTTTGGGTCATTGTCATGCTGGAACACCCATCTACGACCTATTTTTAATGCTCTGGCTGAGTGAAGAAGGTTCTCACCCAAGATTTGACTGTACATTGCCCCATCAAGCATCCCTTTGATCCGGTGTAGTTGCCCTGTCCCCTTAGCAGAAAAATACCCCCAAAGCAGAATGTTTCCACCACCATGTTTGACAGTTGGGATGGTGTTCTGACCACAACACTTTCAACCAGTCCTCCTCTGCATCATTCAGATATTCAGTGGCAAACTTCAGACAGGCCTGGACATGTGCTTTCTTCAGCAGAGGGAACTTGTGGGCACTGCAGGATTTCAATCCTTGTTGGCGTAGTGTGTTACCAATTGTTTTCTTGGTGACTGTGGTCCCAGCTGCCTGGAGATCATTGACAAGATCCTCACGTGTAGTTCTGGGATGATTCCTCATTGTTCTCATGATCATTGACACTCCACAAGGTGAGATCTTGCATGGTGCACCAGACCTAGGGAGACTGACAGTTGTTTTGTGTCTTTTCCATTTGCGAATGATTGCACCAACTGTTGTCACCTTCTCACCAAGCTTCTTGGCGATAGTTTGGTAGCCCAGTCCAGCCTTGTAGGTCGACAATCTTGTCCCTGACATTCTTGGAGAGCTCTTTGGTCTTTGCCATGGTGGAGAGTTTAGAATATGATTGTTTGATTGCTCCTGTGGACAGGTGTTTTTTATACAGGTAATAAAATGAGATTAGCAGCACTTCCTTTAAGAGACCGCTTCTAATCTCAGCTTGTTACCTGTATGAAAGACACCTGGTAGCCAGATGTCCTGCTGAATGATAGGGGATCAAATAATTATTTCCCTCATGAACATGCAAATCAGTGCATCATTTCTTTAGATTTTTTGTTGCTATTCTGTCTCTCAGTGTTACAATACACCTACCATTCGATTTTTAGACTGATCATTTCTTTGTGAGTGGGCAAACATTCAAAATCAGCAGGGGATCAAATACTTATTTCCTTTATTGTATGTCTTTGGTTAAAAAAATCCCAATAAGTGTATATTGATTGGTTTGTGCAAAAGTTATAGCGTCTATAAACCATGGTTTAGATACTGCAATTTGTATATATTTTTTTTTTTATACTACTAATGGCGGTGATCAGCAATCTATAGTAGGACTGTGATAAGGCGGCAATCTAACACTGGGTGAGAGCTGACTAACTGACACTGAGATCACCAGTGACACTAATACAGTGATCACCGATGATACTATACACTCACGATGACCCTGGCTGGGAAGAGGTTAACATCTTGGGTAATCAAGGGGTTAAGTGTATGCCTAACTAGTGTTAATTTTGTGTAATGTGTGGTTTAACTAAAAACCTTTTGTTTCTTCTGCCTGCAAAGCAGGGAGAAGAAACAAAGAGTGTATTCCTTCTGTACAGAGCCCTGTGTTGATTGTTAACACAGAGCTCTGAGTTGTGATTGGACACAGCCGATCAGCAGATCCCGCCCATGAATCATTGGCTGGGACCTGCTGACAAACTCTTGCTGTGCGGGAGTTGTGGGACGGGGCATGTGCCCTGTACCCAGAAGAGGCCAGCAGCGTACGGGTAGGTTACTGTGCCTGTACATTGTGGATGGGTGGTCCGCAAGTGTGTAAGAGGATTGCTCACTGCTGCTCTCTCTCCCTGTGAAGGGTGACTGGTCTTGTCTTTGCCACCTCCTGTAATTTTCTTCAGGAAGCTTGTAGTGAGTGGAGCCTTCTGGGCCCCTCCTACAGCTCTGCTGTCTGCACAGGCTATGTATAGCACTACTACTTTTATATAGTAATATCTGGGTTTGCAAAGACATTTGGTGCTCACAAAGCCCAGTTTGGATAAAACCCAGCTCATCCTTGGTCACTGACCATTTTAATAGGTGTCTGAGCATCTCCACTCAGGGCCACATCCCAAGATGTCTTATTAGGACTGGCCCATGGGGGAAGTTACCCACGCCCAGTCATTCTCTGTGTACACAGTACTTGGGTTTACCTGTGGTGGAGAATATTCAGGATCGGTCACTCGTCCCACCCAATCCTCACCTGGTTTCTGAATCTGATTGCACTCTATAGACCCTGTGACTATAAGGTTGATGAAATTGCAGGTATTTGATGACAGGCATCTGGTTTCTCAACATGCATCTGTAAAGCTGGCGTAAACGCCTTTCTGAGTCCACAGTATAGGTAGTCAGCAACTCGGAAGCTTCTTAATGTACATCTTTATTGGTTACATAAATACAGGATCACAGAGCTAACGTGTTTCGGCTTTATAAAGCCTTCCTCATAGCATCATTGTAATGAGGAAGGCTTTGTAAAGCCAAAACGCATTAGCTCTGTGATCCTGTATTTATGTAACCAATAAAGATTTACGTTAAGAAGCTTCCGAGTTGTCGGCTACCTATACTGTGGATTCATGCTGTGAGGAGTGAACATCTTAGCCTGTGCACTGGTCTCCTGTCTCCACATTTTGAACAGAGCAGTTGAGCTTGGGTAAGATTTGTTTCTAAGTGTAAAGGACATTCAATTGATGTCACCTCTTCTACTTTTTACAGAGTGGCCTCCCGTACCAAGTATTTTGAGAAGGCTTCCAGACCGAGGGGAAGGTGATCGTTGAATTTTAATTATTTAATTTTAAGATTATTGTGAATTATAGGTGATTTTTGCTTTTAGATTAGTAACTCCACTTTCATGCAAACAAAAAACATCACAAATAAAAAAAAGAATATAGCTTATACGATTGTGATACAAGCCATATTGTAATATACACTATATTGCCAAAAGTATTGGTCGGCCTGCCTTTCCACACACATGAACTTTAATGGCATCCCAGTCTTAGTCCGTAGGGTTCAATATTGATTGAGTTGGCCCCGCCCTTTGCAGCTATAACAGCTTCAACTCTTCTGGGAAGGTCGTCCACAATTTTTAGGAGGATGTCTATGGGAATGTTTGACCATTCTTCCAGAAGCACATTTGTGAGGTCAGGCACTGATGTCGGAGGAGAAGGCCTGGCTCGCAGTCTCCGCTCTAATTCATCCCAAAGGTGGTCTATGTGGTTGAGGTCAGGACTCTGTGCAGGCCAGTCAAGTTCCTCCACCCCAAACTTGCTCATCCATGTCTTTATGGACCTTGCTTTGTGCACTGGTGCGCAGTTATGTTGGAACAGGAAGGGGCCATCCCCAAACTCTTCCCACAAAGTTGGGAGCATGAAATTGTCCAAAATGTCTTGGTATGCTGATACCTTAAGAGTTCCCTTCACTGGAACTAGGGGGCCAAGCCCAACCCCTGAAAAACAACCCTGCACCAGAATTTCCCCTCCACTGATCTTTACACTTGGCACAATGCAGTCAGGCAAGTACCGTTCTCCTGGCAACCACCAAACCCAGACATGTCCATCGAATTGCCAGACAGAGAAGCGTGATTGGTAACTCCAGAGAACACGTCTCCACTGCTCTAGAGTCCAGTGGCGGCGTGCTTTACACCACGGCATCCAACGTTTTACATTGCACTTGGTGATGTAAGGCTTGGATGCAGCTGCTCGGCCATGGAAGCCCATTCCATGAAGCTCTCTGCGCACTGTTGTTGTGCTAATCTGAAGGCCACACCAAGTTTAGAGGTCTTTAGCTATTGACTCTGCAGATAGTTGGTGAATTCTGCGCACTGTGCGCTTCAGCATGCGCTGACCCCGCTCTGACATGTGACGTGGCCTACCACTTGGTGGCTGAGTTGCTGTTGTTCCCAGTTTCTTCCACTTTGTTATAATCCCACTAACATTTGACCGCGGAATATTTAGTAGCCAGGAAATGTCACGGATGGACTTATTGCACAGGTGACAACCTATCACGGGACCACGCTTGGAGTCACTGAGCTCCTGAGAGCGACCCATTCTTTCACAAATGTTTGTAGAAGCAGTCTGCATGCCTAGGGGCTTGGTTATATACACCTGTGGCCATGGAGGTGATTGGAACACCTGAATCCAATGATTTGGAGGGTGGGCCCAATACTTTTGGCAATATAGTGTATCATTATTAAAAATAACCTTTCCGTTTCAATCTGCAGCACTGTAATTCTTTGTAAAATGGAATACAGCAACCTGAAGGCATTCTGTACACAGATGTTTGTGCGATTTGCTTACTGATTTTCCCAGAAGTCTACACTAAGATGTCAGATTTTGGGCATCCCCTGCAAAAAAAATGTGTTTTGGGAAGATACTCCAAAAGGGTTAATCGCATCAAAAGCGATGCAGACCCTGCCACTTTCCTCATTACACCCCTGCAGCAGCTGATTGATAATGATAAAATCACTCACATTCACTTTGCACATGGACACAGACAAACCACTATTTCTTCAGAACAACAAAAGGTAGGAATCTGCAACAAAGTTTTTTTTGAAATCCCTGCAATGTCCATAGATCGCAGAGAAGGCCATGTTTATTTCTCAGCAAAAGAGGAGTTGCTCTTTACAGAAAATATGTGCCAAAATAAACACAGAGGCTGCCAATGTTGACCTCAGGAGCATGCATGCTGCAAATTTGGTCCGCACTAAGGGCTTGTTCACACCAGTTGTGGGGGGATTGCGTTTGGTGGGTTTTCCAGCACAGTTCCACTGCACAACAAGGGAAAATGCCTTGTGTCCTATGTGGGAGGGTAATATGCCATGAAAAAGAGTAAGGCAGATCGTATATTTTTGAGCATAGAGCAATCAGAGGCGATGTCATTGTGTGACATTTCAATAAAGTTCAGTAAAAAATAGTTCAATGCGTCGCAATCAGAGCATCAGCACTGCAGCCATCTCATTGCATCGCTCTGCACACCAGCCACTGCATTGTAATGCGCAGCTGGTGTGAATAGTTCCTCATTTAGATACATTTTCTTGGCCAATGGCTTACCCAATCCTCTCCAACTCCCCGCGACTAGAATGGTCCCCGCAGCCTCTGCCCCCCCGCACTTTAGAGTCCTGATGTCGTCAAGAACAGAACAGGGTCATAGCTCTGCAGTGGATGTGAGGACGCTGAGGGACAACCCACTGTCGGATTGTGGGGGAGTGGAGGATCAGGTAAAACTGTCCCACCTCTTCCCTGGACAAAACAAGCTATTTAGCCTTGCAGTGAAGGCACAGCCCCACAGCCAGGGAACCTTTTTTGTTTCTGCCCAGACCTGGCATTTAAAGTATATCTGAAGCCAAAACCTTTTATTTTTTACTGATGCCAGATGATGGGGGATGTCCTGGGGCATGGCTTTACATATCGAGGCATTCCTGCCTCTTTGTCAAGCCTTTATTAAGGCTTGACAAAGAGGCAGGAATGCCTTAAAATGAGTAGCCATGCCTCTTCCCTGGACATTCCTTGGAATCTGACATCATCCATTGTGTTCCTCTGGAGTCTCCTCCTAACCAAGAATTGTTCTGAGCTTGCCACTTTGTCAAGGCCTGAGAAAGAGGCAGTAATGCCACAAATCATGTAGCCACACACCCAGGACCTGACAGCATCCATTGGGTTCCTCTGGAGTCTCCTCCTAACCAGGAAGTGTTCTGAGCTTGCCACTTTGTCAAGGCTTGAGAAAGAGGCAGTAATGCCCTAAAACATGTAGCCACACACCCAGGACCTGACATCATCCATTGGGTTTCCCTGGTGTCTCTTCCCGACCAGGAAGTGCTCTGAGCTTTCTATGCCTGTCCAGCCAGCAGCAATCCTGCACAATCTCTGGACTGGATGTCTCTGCCACAGGCTTCCCTGGATGTCCTGATTTCTTATGCTCTACATGCTTTCACAAACTTACTTCATATGAGTTGCCAATGTGTCTTTATCAGACAACAAATATTTTAATGCTGCACATAGATGGCAACCACCACTGTGTTTTTTTTTTTTTTTTTTTTTTTGGTTTTTTAGGTAAAGGCGAGCTAACCCTTCAAATAATGTTGAAACTTTTACATAAGTTCTTCGGAGGGCTATAGTCAAGTTGACCGATTCTTACTTAGGTTGGGAAATTTGGCCTAGGCATCCAGTCACCGATGACTTTTCGACACAAAAGAGTCAAGTACAGGCGTGCCTCGGTTTACAATTTTTTTTCACAATGCAAATGGATTAATTGGTTTTCAATGTATTTGCAAATTTTTTCTTAATTGTTTCCCTGTACACTACTATGCCTTTAACATGCACTTTATACAGAGTTTTGAACAGATAAGACTTTTTTTCTGACCTCCGTAACGGATTAATTGGTTTTCAATGCATTTACAATTTTTTTTTTTTTTTAATCATGTCCCTGTAGAGTATTTATTCCTTTAAAGTGCACTTTATAGAGAGTTTTGAACAGATAAGACTTTTTTAAAACTTTTTTCTGACCTCCATAACGGATTAATTGTTTTCAATGCATTCCTATGGGAAACCGCGTTTTGGTTTCCGAATTTTTCGCAATACAAAAAGTCCCGCAGAACTCATTAAATTCGTAAACCGAGGTACACCTGTAGATGTATCTAGAACCTTTACCTGTGACCTACACGTAGTTCAGAATGTCCGTGTTTGGTGAGAATTCCTACAGCATGTTGGGATCTGGCCTCATCATTGTGGCGGTGCCTAATAGTAATTTGGCTGCTCAGACATTCATGATATACGGCTTCTATGCCAAGCGTTGTGTTGCTTTCTCAAGAATATTCGGCATGCCCATATAAGTGGCTGTTTTCTCTTTTGTAAAAAAAAAAAAAAAATTCCCTTCCATTGATGAAAATAAGTGGCTGCCAGTACAGACTTAAAAAACCCAATAAGTACTGCAACCCGCAGCCTAAGTTTATCTAAAGTCCAAAGTTTTATCTAGTTTTGGATGGAGTTGCAATGTGTTAAAAACCCATCCAGGGTTTATTGTTGCATGGGGAGAGTCAATTGGTTCTGGTGACTGTTGTCCTCTTGATGGAGAGATTTTTTCTCACTTCCTGTTGTGTCTTCATGATGGGAAGTGAAGTTTAAAGGGTTCTCCCTTACCAAAAAACTGCCTATGCAGATGAGAGACGCCTGTAGATAAAAAAAAAACAAAAAAACTGTGCAGCTCTGAATAAAGTTGAATAATGCCCCTGCTATAGTTGTAAGCAACTTAAGCCTCTTTGGTCAGGGCAGGCATTCTAAAGGTAACCACAGTAGACCGTGCCTGTGTAACGTGTGTTCAAATTTATAGTCTCCATTGGAAGCCTATGAATCAAGGGGACAATGCAGGAGCACAATTGGAAGACAGGGACAAAGCGTTGTCACCCTATGACAGGAAGTGTCTGAACAAGGATTTTCATGGCAGATTTACCAGGGTGTTCAAATGGCCACTTGTAGTCTCCAAGGGAAGTCCAAGCAACAGGATGACAACACAGGAGGACAATTAGGAGACAGGGCCACCCTATAACAAGAAGTGCTTCAACAAGGACCTTTTATGGCAGGATCACCAGGGATCATCCTTATGAAAGCTGCAGATTTATCAAGATTACTGACTTTTGAAGTGACATTAACATATTAAAGCTTATTTGAAATGTTTCTGATTGGGTTTACATCTACTTTAAGGTACAAGTGTTTATGATCATACAAATACTATCTGTCCTTTTGGTGATATTTGAATATTTCAGAAATGCTGCTACTCCGTTGTTAACAATCCTCTCTCATTTCCCACACAGTCCTCCATCACCTCCCCAACGAATTCCAAATTCAGAGGAGAGCTGAATCTTTAAGGTATAAAATTGTTAATACAATGTTCTTACTTTTGATTGGTTGGCTGAAATATTGGAAAAATTTAAAGTATGTGTGTGTATGTGTATATATCAGGGCCAGATCCAGCCTGTCCGGTGTGGGGGTGCAGTAAAAAATGTTGGGGGGCAATGGATGGGAGATCAGCAGGGCAGTGTACAAGAGGTCAGCAGGGCAAAGTTTAGGGTCAGCATTATGTAGGGACGTGCACAGAGACCTTTAATTTGTAGAGCAGTGTACAGGAGACAATAGAGCTGAGGACAGTGGTCACTGCTGAGGGCAGGGCACTGCTGGCAGGGCAGAGGGCAGGGGTCACTGCTGGCAGGGCAGAGGGCAGGGGTCACTGCTGGCAGGGCAGGGCAGGGGTCACTGCTGGCAGGGCAGGGCAGGGGTCACTGCTGGCAGGTCAGAGGGCAGGGGTCACTGCTGGCAGGGCAGAGGACAGGGGTCATTGCTGGCAGGTAACTCAGCAAAGCTCCTTCTCCCATCCCTGCACAGCACACAGCCTGGGCACTGGCAGCATAGCTCCTCCTTTAGGGGAAGATGGGAGTGGTACAGGCAGCCTTTCCCACATAGTTTTGTTCCTTGGGATAAAGGTTTTACATAAAAGCTGATCATTGTAAACATCCCTGTCCGTGGTAAATTGTTTGTCCCATCATGCTAACTGCTACATCTTCAGGAAAGCTTGTTCTATTGAAAAAAAAAAAAAAAAACTTACTGGTTAGATCACCAGATGAAAATAAAGGAAAGAAAGTCTAAAACAGAACACTAATGCAGCCATCGCATCTAAGAATTGGTAAGCTGCAATATAATACATGTTTGCTTCTGGCTTTAATACTGCTTTAAGTTTTAAAAATGTAAACTGGAAAATATTATTTTTCCAAGATTCTGCAGCCAAATGGCCAAATCTGAAGCCAAATTTTAGTGTTATTGATGGCAATGTGGATTTCCAAAAGACTTCTGGGAAAAAAGACCCAAGCCTGTATCTGCCTTATATCTGTTCATGCTGTTGCCTGAGCACCCTTAGCTTGGCTGCTAGTGTCACCAGGTCCAAATCTTCCATCTAAAGCCAGGTAGATGGATTGAAATGTGGCCAGTTCAGCAGGGACCAGCCAAATTTTGAACCATCTGTGGGCAGGTTTAATGTTCAGAAGTCAATTTCTTGAATGACTTCTGTTCAACCAGCCTGTTGGAAAATTTTCACTCGATCAGTACCATTGGCTATAGCTGGCAGTGCTGACGAGTGTGTTCTGACTGCGAAGAATGTCAGAATTCAGTGGCTCAGCAGGAAGGATTCTCCCATCCACTTCGAATGCGTGGAAGGGGGAGAATCTATTCATTTTCTTTAGTCTAACCCAGTAGTTGAACGAAAGAAAATTTAATGACATATGGCCCACTTAGGTATATCTGATAGATTTTTGAAGGGCTTTGATAGGCTTTTTTTCACATCAGGAAAGTTTTGCAATCTTATACAAGGCTATGGAAAGCGGCCATAGGGCGGGCGGCAAATGGTTAAGAAGAGTGCTTGCACCCCTTAGTGAGCTGTTGCACCAAGCTGATTGACCTGAATCATAGTTCCAATACGAGAGATGTAAGTTGAAACAAATGAGAGGATTATAAAACGTCTTCAAGAAGGAAAATCATTACGGAATGTTGCAAAAGAAGTTGGTTGTTCCCAGTCAGCTGTGTGTACTGGACCAAGTAGAAATCAACTGGGAAGGTTGTAAAAGGGAAGTGTACTGGTAGACCAAGGAAGAGATCAAAGCGTCAAGATAGAAAACTTAAAGCAATATGCCTTGAAAAGCAGAAAATGCACAATAAAGCAAATGAGGAACAAATGGACAGAAACTAGAGTCAATGTCTGTGACCGAACTGTAAGACATCGCGTAAAGGAATTGGGATTTACATACAGAAAAGCCAAACAAAAACCATCATTAATACCTAAACAAAAAAAACAGGTTACAGTGGGCTAAAGAAAGCAATCATGGACTGCGGATGACTGGATGAAAGTGATATTTAGTGATGGATCACGAATCTGCGTTGGGCAGGGTGATGATGCTGGAACTTTTGTTTGGTGCGATTCCAATGAAATGTATAAAGATGACTTCCTGAAGAAAACATGCAAATTTCCACAATCATTGATGATATGGGGTTGCATGTCAGGTAAAGGTACGGGGTAGATGACAGTCAATAAATCTTCAGATGCACAAGTTTATATTGAGATTTTGGACACTTTTCTTATTCCATCAGTTGAAAGGATGTTTGATGATGACCTCATTTTTCAGGATGATAATGCATCTTCCCATAGGGCAAAAGCCGTGAAAACTTTCCTTCAAGAAAGACATCTAAAAAAAGCAATGTATCCAGCTCCAATACAGTGCCAAGGGATCCAGTGAACAATCCGCCACCACTATGCACTCATCAGAATGCTACTGGTACTGGTATAGTAGCAGTGATCGATGGTCACTAGTTACAGTCCTGGGCTAGAGATCTTCCTAGAAGGAAAGCTCACCACACTGAGCCAGAAATCGCATTTATAGTGTAGTATTTATTTAGCTAGCTAGGGTTCTCGTATAATCCTGCCCAATCTATGAGAGTTTGTTTTTTTTTTTGTTTTTTTTGCTAGTGCCCTGCATTGCTTGGATGTGGTCAGGGCTCTCATAGCCTACCTGGCAGCCACACCCTGTGTTTGTGAGACCAAGTCCCTGTTTGTTCTCCTTGGAGGTCCTTATAGAGGAGTTTCACAGTTGCCAGGTGGATCAGACAACTTATTTTCAGGGCATAAGCCCTTAAGGATAAGGGTTCCTCCTTTCCCCATCAGAGCTCATTCCATCAGGGCTGTTGTTGTCTCCTGGGCTTTTCAAAACCAAGTATCGGTATCCCTGATTTGCAAGGCCACCACCTGGTCCTCTGGTCACACATTCTCTAGGATTTGATGTTCAGACCTCAGTCAATGCAAGCTTTGATTGCAAAGTGCTTCACACTGTTATCAGAGTGTATTCATGTTCTTTAATCTTTGTGGCAGTTTGGTTTTGGTATGTTTTTTTTTCCACTCCTCAGTTCATTGCTTGAGGACATTCCATGGTCTATGAAGGCCACCACCTGGTCCTCTGGTCACATATTCTCCAGAATGAACGTTCAGGCCTCAGCTGATGCAAGCTTTGACTGCAAGGTGCTTCAAGCTGTTATTGGAGTGTTTTCAGGTTCTTGAACCTTTGTGGTAGTTTGGCTGTACTATGTTGTTGTCCATCTCTCAGTTCATTGCTTGGGGACATCCCATGGTCTGTGAAGACCACCACCTGGTTCTCTGGTCACACATTCTCCAGGATGGATGTTCAGGCCTCAGCTGATACAAGCTTTGACTGCAAGGTGCTTCAAGCTATTATTGGAGTGTTTTCAGGTTCTTGAACCTTTGTGGTAGTTTGGCTGTACTATGTTGTTGTCCATCTCTCAGTTCATTGCTTGGGGACATCCCATGGTCTGTGAACACAAGCCCTGTGTCCTGTAGTGCACAGTTATCCTAGCATTCCTTTTCTTGAAGCACAATACAGGACCGATGCTCCTTCCCTATGTGTCTTTGATTACTTCTTACTGTTTAAAAAAAAAAAAGTTTCATGGAGTGGACGGGGTTATATGAATACGCATTAGGGGAGGCCCTGGAAGGTTTTTTGCCAGTGTCCAATCATAAGAAGTTAGCCTGCTTATAACCCATGGTCTATGAATACAAAACCTGTGTCTTGTACTATATACTCCAAGATGAGGAATTAACAGGTAAGCCAAAAGTCCTATTTTTCCGACAGGAAACAGAAGATGTATCCAGAAGCAAGTATTTAACTATGGACATATATAATCTCTTAATATCACCTGAACATTAATATTGGATGTTTGCTATTCAATTCCCCAGCTCAGTGAGTGTAGAAAACTTAAAATTACAACGATGTTTGGTGGCAGCCTCAGGGTTGGTATATCCTTATTTGATACAGGGAACAAAAAAGAACAGGAAGAGCAAAGTGAAAGGTATTCTAGAAGAGAAGAATAGGAAAGAAAAGGGCTGTGGCCAGTTAGTGAAGGTAGAGGAGAGAGCTGCACAGCAGGCCATAGAGCCCTGATGCCCATCATATGGCTCTTTGGCACTTATTGTGTGGGCCACAGGGTTTTCTTTAAAAAAAAAAAAAAAGTACATTTGAAGGGGGCTTCATGGAACTCAAATTGTTATTCTCTAGTTATCTCATGTAAAATATCTCCAGAATCCTGTCCTCAGTCTTCAACAACTTCTATAGCATGTCTACAGTCTCTCAGCATCTCCTCTTGCATGTCCTTTTACGTTCACGGAATATTACAAGCAGTCCTTTGGCAATGTCATGTCAAGTACTGCATGCTATATCGAGTAAGTGGGCTGCTACTGACATAGAAGCAAAAAGATACAGTGACAAAAAGAAATATTTTTTGTAGTGTTGGAAAGAATAAAAAAGGGTTAAAACCCCTTTCAATTTTTTTTTTTGCACTATCTGTGTCCCATTGGGAAGATTTTCCTTTACTTCCTGCCTCAAGACACTAAAGCAAGTGAGAAGAAATTTCTACAAAGTAAGGGACTATTGTCTCTGGAACAGGTGTCCATAATGAAAAATTTCTTCTCCATCCCCATTGCTGTAGCAGCTCAAAATTGTAGTTTTTCCCATCACTCCTCATGCCCACGGTCTCAATGGCAATGGTGAGCAGGAGAAAAAAACAGAAGGCAAATCTTCCCAGCATTTCTATTCCTTCTCTGTTGCATCCAAAATGTGAAAAAATGGCTTTAGATACACTGTAAAGATATACAGTTTATTATGAAGTCAAAAGTTTGTGGATACCTATAAAACCTACTGTGCAATTTTTGGACATCACATTCCCAAACCTTTGTGGCTTAACCAGTCTCCACTGTTCTTGATAGACTATCTGAAAAACATTTTGGAATGTTCATGGAAGATTGTGTCCAT